TGTAATACAGGTGCAAGGAAATTCCTTCCAGAAGAAGGCAGCATCATTACTTGGTACACACCACGTTGTGGAGGTAAACATTCTTGCTGGGGAAAGTAGGAGATACCACATTCTTGGATTCTAAGTTTCCTTGCTTTTGTGTCTAATATTAGCAGATAAGATCAGATGTAACGATTTGAAAGCGGCTGTTGATACTTCGCTTTTCTAAATTTAGTATATTACATCCATGAAACGTTGGTGTATAATTTAATTTACTCTTTCGCTGCAGGATCAGTCTAGCGGTGGGAACCAAGGACCAAGGCAAAGAGCTGCTGCTCTAGCTGCCTTGACTTCCGCTTTTAGTTCTCCTTCTGGAAAGACAAGCTCTCCGGTAAATTAGTTATACTAGATTCTCTCTGATTCATATATGAAGCTATTTTATTTTTTGTAATTGTGATATGTTTAGCGAATCACAGCTACTAGTGTTCTATCTTCTCGGTGAGTTTACTGAGAACTATCATTGCTCTTAACTGCAGAACCGGGACAGATCAAATGGAAATCAAGGTGGTTCAAGACAAAGAGCTGAAGCTTTAGCCGCTTTATCATCCGCATTCAACTCTTCACCATCATCAAATTCACCTCCACAAAGACCATTGACAACTCGTTCGTCACAAAGAGCATCAGCACTGGCTGCTCTCTCGCAAGTTCTCAATGGTGAAAAGAAGAAATCACCTGATACCAGCCCTTCCTGTAAGTAGTTGACCTATTGCTTGAGTTAAAGATAAAACATATCTAACTACGTGAGCTTGTTTAAACATATTGCATGTATGGTTACAGCGGAAGCTAAAGATGAGAAAGCCTTCTCAGAAGTGGATGCTTCCGAAGAATCTGCTCAAGCCAAAGAAGAGGAAGTTTCACCTGCAGCAGATATGATTGCTGAGGAAGCAGGAACAACGGGAGCAACTTTCACCTACCAACAGCTACAAGCCAAATCTGACAAACCAGTGAAAGGAATTGACTTCAAACGCAGAGAGGTGAATCATTTCAGCAAACATTATCCTCTCTTTTTTCTCGTTTTAATTTTAGCTTAAATTGTCTATATCTTAAGTCTTTCTCAAACCTGATCTATCAGGCTTACCTATCTGAGGAAGAGTTCAAGAGTGTATTTGGGATGGAGAAAGAAGCATTCTACAAATTGCCTAGGTGGAAGCAAGATTTGATGAAGAAGAAATTCAACTTGTTCTAAGACTTCTCCAGAAAAAAGGAAAAAAAAGGTTACAGGTGGAAACATCACAAGCATGGTGAGATCCTCTTCAGATATATTAAGAACAAAGACACAGTTTGTCATTGTATTATACAGGTTATGTGGTGACCTCAGTGGTGAAGCTTTTGAAGACAAGACAATCTCCAGTTTCTTTTTCTTATTGTTTTGGTTTCTTTCGAGTATCCTCGTATTGTTTTGGTTTTTCAGAAAGAACAAAAAATTTGCTCTTCATGGGTTTTTTGGGTTAAAATTATTCGTTTTCTTGTCACGGTGATGTGTTATTGTAATCATTGTTTGGTGTTTTTTTGCATTTTTTTGTTGGTGTGGACAGTTGTGTGGTGGTGGTTGGCAAATTCTTTGATTTGAATTTCACATTTATTTGATTATTAAAGAACTAATGTCTACTTGTGCACTCATGACACTTCAATGTAATGTTTTTCCATCCGCGTTATTTTTAATGTTATGATTATACCTAACAAAAGCTAAGAGAAGCTTAATTTTAGTGTGTTGACAGTTGAATATAGAAGGACTTTCAGTTCTTTTTCAAAATCATAATGCGATGAGAAAATAAAGAGAACTATAGAGCAAACAACCACATTAATGTCTGACCTGGTCTCCACCAATTTGGCTTTCTTTCTTTCTTTTTTTTGTTTACTGCAACAAATCAAGGAAACAATAGTTGGGAATCATAATAATTACGTCAAAATTTGCATCATTCTCCAACGTGAAAAATGATGATCTAACACAAGATTTGTTGACTCGAACAAACGTACAAGAGCCACTATTAAATCTTCTCTTGGTGCTTGTCACCGACACAATCTTTCTGCATATATACACTAATACAAGCTGCATCTAGAGTTGTTAGTTAGTAACTACAAAATAAAACTAAATGATAAAAAAAAAATATCGTCTCCTCTTGTAACTTGTAAACATTGCACTGAAAAATTGCATAATCGTGGTTATTAACCTGGCACTTATGTAAAGTTTCGACATAAGAAAAAAAATTTCAAAGCAACGACGACATTTTGAGCTTGACAGATGAGTAGACTGTAGCCATATAGTATTTGCACGAACTCTCTGTCCACACTAGAAGGTCCACAACGAAGACTTACTGCTGACAATGAAAGAAAGAGTGTCGGTTCCCACTTGTCCAAGCTTACTCTTTCTATGATGAAAACTGTTTTCATCGTGTAACATTAACATAATTTGTTGACAAAAAAACACTAAATAACTAATTAACTATCCATTACTAAGAAAGTAATCTTTCTAAAACTGTTTTTATTTTATTTTTGGCAAACATTCATGAATTCATTAAATGTGCTTCATGTTTGTTACTTGTTATTGTGTTGCTCTTAATTAAAGATATAATAAAGACACGACTGCGAAAGCTTTAAAGCTCTACCTTTATTTTAGCAAAAGTTAGTTATTCTTATTCTTCTATTTTGATGATTAAGTCTTTTTATAGTATAACTAAAGATGTGTATGACTAAAGCTCAACTAATCTCCCAAAGAAAACAATACGTCCAAACTCATGTTTCTATGATATCTATGTATTTGATGATATCTAAGACATGGTTTCATTTTATGTAGCATTGGCAAACGAATTTGGTTAAGTTAATAGGCTAATAGCCAAAGGTTGGAAGTAGGACTAGGCATAAATACCCGCTACACGCCTTAAATTCGTTACTCACCTTGTATTCGTTTTGTTTTTTCAAATACTCACCATCGTCAAATCGAATATCAAATAGTGGAATTTAGATATTTGCAAGTACAAATCAAGTAACAAACATGTAAAAAAATCAATTACTTGACTTGATACTCATTACTTGCTTAGAAAATATGGTTTTGTTATTGTGTGAAGTAAATAATATTCCATTATAAATATTTTATATTTTTCTTCATTCTTCTTGTTTATATTATGTACAAATGATTTATTTATATTAATTTCGTGTTTATTCCTTGTACAACAACAAAAATAAACTCCTATTTTCATTTTTTGGTATATTATTATAAGTAATTTTTAAATACTTAAAATTACATTTAGGTAATTTTTAGTAAGTACTTGTAATAACAAATATTCGTTTTTGACAAGTCAATTACAAGTCGAAATTTTCATTACACGTATAAAACAAGTTAAGTTTCGACTTTCATTACACGTATAAAACAAGTTAAGTTTCGACTTTCATTACACGTATAAAACAAGTTAAGTATCTCAGTATTGCTAAAATAGCAAGTACCAACTTCTGTCCAAGTCTCAGTCAGAAGCACCACACGCTTATGACAAGTAATATAAGAGTTAGAATTTTAAATACAAATGTAATGTTTTTGTTACTTGAACCTTGAGTTAAATAATTTGGATAAAACGATATAAATATTTAAAGACATTGAGATAGTAAAAAGAAAAGGAAAAGCAAAGCACGCTTGTTTGGGTATATGGGAAATTCTTGGCTTCAAAATGAAGCCACTGTAGAGTGTAGACTATAGGGTTAATTAACTTGATACCTCCTTGTAATAACCCCACCACCTTATTTTATTTTAATATTTTCTCCTTTGTTTTCTTTCGTTGTTCATATCTTTTCACAACCTCACGCTTTTATTGTGTGTGGACATACAAAGATACTGACTTCATCTATATCCAAAACAATTATTGATATGCAATTATAATAATGTTATTGTATCCAATCTAAAATTGTGTGACTTCAATATAATTAAAAATTATAAACAATAAGATAAATAAACAACTGCTAAACATTCAACTTAGTTTTACACCATATAAACACACGAAATGGTTTACTTTTATTACACGGGTGAATTTTTGATACCAGTAAATAAGTATATCACCAAGGTAAGAACAAGAAGGTATGATATAAATATAATGCATATGAAGAGACTGCAATAAGTGGAGATGTAAAGTTTCAACCGAATAAAGTGATTAGATGATGAGCTTTTTTGTTGTGTTTATGTCACCCTTCGAGGCCTCGATGATAATTGGTAAGATTTGAGAGAATCCGATTCCAACGATGAATCTCGTGATGGACATTATTGTTTTGTTAAAATAATAGTTTCAATAATTGAATAAGAGAGGTTTTCTATAAAGTTTTTAGGTGTTAGACAAAAAAATATATAAGTGGTGGACAAATTGACTTTAACCAGCTCAAAAGACAACAAATGAACACATGTGCGACGAATGTCGTTATAGCAAATGGAAACCATATTAACAAAATAATTAAAGTTTATAATTATGAAAACATTTGATATCATCATAGTTGCTATTTTGTTAAGCCCAGACTGATTAATCGGCGGAGTCATAGGTTATCGACTTAGTGGTATGCCATATGAACTTTTAATTTAAAATTGGTTTTATTATTTTCACTATAGTCTATAATGTAGACCACTATCTAAAGGTAATATTTGTTCATACATACAATACGAGTAATTAACAAGGGCAGGTTTAAGAGAACAATATATAGGAGATAGACACAGAATATATGAATATATCTTCGACAAAAAAGATATATGAGTACTTTAATATATGAAAATGGTGCATTGCCGACATTTCTATAAATAAAAATGCAAAATACCCCTTATTTTCATGTTTTATATGATTATCTCAAAAAGATAAAATCAATAGAACGTAGACATAAATAAACATCCCGGATACAAAATACAATATAAGCCATTTAAATTAATACTCTATAAATTAATATACTAAAATTTTCTTTAAAATAATATAATTTTATAATTTTAAAGTGAGTTTTTGATCCAACTAGTATATCGATAAATTAATAATTTCTATAAATTAATACAATATTATTCACTGTAAAACCTAAGGAAATAACAGAAGTCAAATGGTACAAAACCTATTAAAATACAACGAACATTTTCTCTAATTTTGTTTTGTATTTTTCCCACTTTTTAAATTTCCACAATAATAATTAAATGCTAACAGTAACTATAAACAGAAGAATCTAACGAACAAACACGTTTCATAATAACCGCCGCCATAACATTCCCGCGTAGTATCATATCACAATCCCTAACCGACGCCGCCGCCGAGTTTCTCGTCCTCAACTCAGCGAGCGAACTCGCTTCCGCAACCACCTCACTCATTCCCACCACTTCAATCCCCTTCGTCAAATGTACACTCCCAACGAGTTGACTCAGCACCGCCGATTCCGACACCGAGCTCCTCTTCTTCCTCTGCATCATCGCCGCCCTCACGATCTCCGTGTGCATCGCGCTCGATAGCCTCCTGATCCCTCTCGCTCCTCCGATGATAACCGCCGGATTAACGCTCTCCGACGTCGTTTTCTTGTGTTTATTAGAGAATAAAATAACAGACTCGGGTCGGTGGGTCCGGTTACGGATCCGGGTTAACGGATCACCGATGATTAATGAAGTCTTCGCGTCCACGAGCATCACGTGTTTAAAACTGCGTCTAACTCGGCCCAGTAACATTGGGTAACAGGCCCATCTACGTAAGGTGATGGGTACGTGATCCATGAACCCGGATAAAGAGTTTTCCGGGTCTAACTCCGCCACGTCGAAACTAACGACAGAGCCGTGAGTTATTAACTCCGTCTCGTTATTATGAGTCTTCGTCTTCGTCTTCCCCCATATAGGCTCAGACGTGTCGTTTCCCGATTGGTTTTTAATAAACCGGGAGTGATTAAACCCCCAAACCGATTCGGTTCGATTCAAGTTGTTCCGGTACAAATCAACGAGTTTTAAGAACGAGTGGTTCTCTTCTCTAACCAATCCGTTAAATGATCTACCGGAATTAGTTAGCAAAACGACGTCGGATTTAGAAGTGACTCCTGAGCGGTGTAACAACCGTAAGAAGAGGCGGAGATCTTCCTCCGTCGTATCGGAAGGGATATGCGCGACGATGAGATCGTGCATGCTCTTGGTTCCTCTGAGAAACAGAGTCCCCATCCCCTGGAGAGCGAATCGGTTGTTGTTTCTGGCGACGTCGCGAGTGAGGAGGAAGCGGCGGCGGTGAGAGACGACGGCGGAGGAGGAGGAGGGAGGTTCGAAGGTGGAGAGGGTGAAGAGGAAGAGAGTGAGGAGAAGGAGGAGGAGGCAGATTGAGATTGTGGATTGAGCTTTGGAGAGGAGGAGGCGGGAAGATCTGGCGCGGAAGAGTGTTGTTGGAGGAGATGAAGATGAAGAGGGAGAAGGAGAGAGGTCGGTGTGGTCAGGGAAGAATACTAAGAGGAAACTCATTCCTCTTCCGCCGTTATTACTGTTCTTCGTCTCTTTCGTTGTTGATATCAAACCCATTCTCTCTTGTTTAGTGGTGGTGACGAGAGGCTGAGAGCTTTTTTTTTGCTTTCTTCTCGAATTTGCCTTTTAATATATTTTGTGATCAAATTTTATTTTTATTAATATTATGTATTGTTACCGGGTCGGGTCGGGTTGGGTCGGGTCATGTCACGTCAGATACTTGTTTTGGAGAAAAAACAAAATATGGGCAGGGGGGGACAGTTAATTCGAATTTAATAAATTTAATTGATTTAATAGCATTTATACTAAGAAATAATTAGAGAGTGATTAAGATGTATATAGCTTGTATGTAGCCTTTTTATCAGTTACCATGTTCAATTGTTCATGAATAATGAGAGAAGTCCTTATAATTGTATTGAGCTTATAAAAACTAGGCTATGTATTATCCTGTTATTGTTATTGTTATACTCCATCCATTTCATATTAAATATCGTTATACAGAAAAATTTACGTTATAAAATAAGTATCGTTCTCGATTTTCATCACAAAATTTATTAATTTTATTGTGTAAAACTTTTATATTGATTAAATTGTGGTTACGTGTATATGTAATTGTGTTTTATATAAAAATATGAAAAATTAATTATTTCCTTAATTCGTATGTAAAATTCTAAAATGATATTTATAATGAAATAGAGGGAATATTGATTTTGATTAACATGGGGTGCGACCTAATTTCTTTTTAAAGAAAAAGTTTGACCGTTCACTCAGTCCATGTGAAACTTTGAAAATTTTAGGCTTGTGTGAATAATTACTTTGACCATTACATTACGTACCGATTTTATATGGAGTTTTTGAAGCAATTTGTCATTTATGGAATGTCGTTATCCAACGAGACTGTCCTTAATTTCATGTAGTTATTGTTTTTTTCACTGAGAATAATTACCTAGAGACTTACTAGTAGTACTATTCTGTAACTTTAGGATAATTTCTAATGGGAATAAACCTAATACATAATTTTAGATCTAACAAATTCTAATTCATTGATTACAATTTGAAGCCAGGAAACTCAGCTAGAAGCAGTTGAATGGTGAGTAATTAACTGCCGAGAGACTTACTAATATTAGTACTATTGTGTTATGATGATTTTAATGCATTATTTGGGAATTGGAGCCAGAATTCACAGTTGAATCATGAATGCAGCAAGCAACTAAAAACTGACTGCATTCTAAGCAACAACGTTTTGTTAAATGGTGAGTAATTTATGGGGTAGAATAATACTACTTTATTTTACCATTAAAACTGAATATATTCAGATATCTTAAAAAAATTTAGGTAGTCCAAACCTAGGTTAGGGATTAATCTTCTTTTAAGAGCCAAAAATGGCAAAATATAAGAAGAAAAAACAAATGTCAGATAAATGATGGGAATGCAGTTAGTACTCCAAGTCTTAGGCCCCAGAACATTAAATCTGCCCCCTTGATTACAGCTAGGATCCGTGATCCGACGGTAGAAACATGATGCTGGGTCGTAATGAATGAAAAAAAAATCAAAAAGTGTGGTCTTATAAAAAAAATGGTGATTTGACTTTTTTGTTTGGGAGTCTGTGAGCATAAGTGTGTGTGTAGGTGTTGAATGCTGACGTCTGACGACGGTGCATCTCATTGGAACCTTCTGATGAAGCTCCTGCACACGTGGCGGTGTCCCCTTCTTCTGCAGATTTTCCGTTCCATGTCGCGACTTGTGCTGCTAAAAACAATTCAGTTCAATTATTTCGTTTGATTATACTATAAAGTAATTAAAAACTACGTTTACTCATTAATGTATTCATATAATGGTATAGTAACATTTACTTGAATGTTACTATACGATTTAAAATATTGGTTGATCACGACTTGTAGGTAGATACTGACGGAAAGAAAAGCAACTTGTACTTTTTGCCGCTTGTGAAGTAAGTCCTCTGGTGATTTTGTTTTCCTCTAAAAATATATAGAAAGCAGGATTCTCAATAAATTTATATTTATTGTTGCATGGTTTGACCAGCCTGTCCAGTTTCTGTTTCTAAACCATGCTACAAACCGTCGGCGACGCCTTGATTTGTCGGTGGCCTTTACGCATTTGTGAACCTAACCTATACCAAGAGCCCAAAAGTTAAAAAAGCAAACAGATGGCACATGTAATCCACATTACATAATTGGCCCATATATATTGGGCTGGGCTTTAAGCGTAATTCGAGCTTTATTCACATTACCTTGTTACGCTAGCTATGCAGCTCAGACTAGCTTTACTGATCACATTTTAAATGCATAGGAATATAATAGGATGCACGTTTTGAGTTGTTCTTCCCCTGTTTCATTATCATTTTTTTTTTGGCTCAACTTCAATTTTCATTATCCAACACCAAATTTGCTACAAAAGATTTAACCGCAAGACAATGAATGCGATCAAATATCATCTAGGGACATGTCTATGGATCCTACCTTACTTAATCAAACTTCATTGTATCCTTGTAACCACAAAGAGAACAAATTTACTCCACCACCAATATTTTTTTTATAGTTTCATTTTCACATTTTTAACTCGGATGTGATCTGCTTTATGACTTCATCTAATCACTAAATTGTTTGAAAATGTAAATATCAACCACAACTAGTGCAGTGTTACCATATGGCAGTCGAATTGGTTTAAGCGCATGCATTGGTGTTGTTGGGTTTCTGGGTACGATCCACCGTGGAAGGAGTGTTTTACGCCATTAATGGTATTAGCAGAGGTTGGCTCCGGGTCCAAGAAAGATTAAGGTCCAATGCCCGAACTTCCTTGAAAAAAAACACTAAAAGCTAGTGCGGTGTGTTGAGAACTATAATAAGATTTTAAAAAAACTAATGTTATTTTGAATAATCAAATCCTTCTTGATTTTAAGGAAAAAAAAATGGTTCACTTAAAGACATAAAATCAAACTCTACTTGATAAATATGGAGAATAATACACAATAAACCTATACTAAACACCATAATTAGGAGAATAATTAATAACTGATATCAATCAATCAGAAGCCACTTGACCTCCAGAGTTATCGCAGGGAGATTCAATCTTCGGCATCTTTCTCTTTCTACAATACCCCGATGACGACAACCTACGAGAAAAAGACACAACAAACAAGCTTTTTAAAAAAAAAAAATTCTCAACTTGTGACACAAGGTAGGGTTTTTTTTTTCAGCTTACCCCAGCTGCAAGGAAGTGTTGGAATAGTGGTCATTGTCGTCATCATCATCATCGTCTGATGAAGAGCTCTCAGGCTCTACTTGTGGGCTAGAGAACTGAGGTATTTCACTCAGCCCTTTTGGTCCTGATGAACCTCTCCCAAACATCTCTATCTGTTTGCGCAAGATTTGGTTCTCTTCCAATGCTCTTCTTTCCTGAAAAAAGATGGTGAGCTTGTGAACATTGCATGATAAAAAAAAAATGATGGTTAAATTTGGAAGCCTTGTTGGTTTACCTTTAACCGGGATCTTTCTACCTGGTTTAGCAAGATTTGAGTCTGAATCAAAACAAAACCAAAGTCAGAGATGATTTAGAGATGGTTCTGTATGAAGATTGTTCTTTGTGTCTTTTTTCACCTTTTGATCCTTGACACTATGCAAGCTATCATTCAACTGGTTTTCAAGAGAGATGAGATCCGAGAAACTCATACCATCAAGCTCCTTACCCTTCAGCCTCCTAACAAAACATAAGGGAACAAAAACTATGAACCAACCAAAACTTCATACAAGACAACAAGTTTTGTCTAGGGAGAGACATACTGAATTGCGAGATGTAATCTCTCGAGTTCGTTCCTCATAGCATCATCTTTCCTCAACTGCAACAACAGTGGAAAATCCATGTAAACAAAACCAAAATTGAGCAAGAAAAAAGGGATACAATTATACAAGAGTCTCTGCTTATAGATACATACCACAGCACCGTTCTCCTGTGAAGCACATAGTACAAGTTGTTGTTCTTGTAATTGTTTATGATCAGCTGATGCAGCACTGTATCCATATCTTGAAAGGGTTTGCTCCATACTTGACCACATTTAAAAAAAAAAAAAAACTCTCCATTAATCACACCGCTTCCAAGACAAATCAACTCTTTCTATGGTCTACTACTAAAGTACTAATCACATGACTATCTAACTTAGATCCCAAACAAAACACCAAGCTTTCATTAAATCAACAGTTATGATGTTTATAACTATCACATATCACATAGAGACACAATCTCGTGTCCTTAAAACACAAAACCCATTACAAATACTTCATCAACAACCCTAAGATTTAGCCAGAAAAATGCAGTTCAAGTACAAACAACACTTTGCTCTGTTTTCAGCCACTTTATACACAACAAGGTTCATTTTTTTCTCTCTTCCAAATCTCAAATCACAGAGAGACACAATCTCAAATCCTTAAACACAAAACCCACAACAAATACTTCACAACCAACCCGAAGATTTAGCTAGAAAAATGCATTTCAGAGTATCAACAACACTTTGCTCTGTTTTCAACCACTTTATACACAAAAAAAGGTTCAACTTTTTCTATATTCCAAATCTCAATTATCTTGAGACGCAATCTCGAGACCTTAACCACAAAACCCATGAAAAACACTTCACAATCAACCCTAAGATTTATCCAAAAAATGCATTTCAACCATAAACCACAACACTTTACTCTGTTTTCAATAATACAAAAAGGTTACATTTTTTATGAACCCAAAACAAAAAGAAAATGATTTTGTTTTACCATCCGCTAGAGAAATCATAAACCTTGCCGGTGCTTGAGAAGATGATCAGAGCAACCTCAGCGTCACAGAGGATAGAAAGCTCTTTAGCCTTCTTCATCAACCCATTACGTCTCTTGGAGAAAGTGACTTGACGACTGTTCACATGCTCAATCTTCTTAATCTCAATCCTTCCTCTCCCCATCTTCTTCTACAATCAATCTTAGGCTCTCTCTCTCTACAGAATCTTAAAACAGAGTAAGTCTTTTGTGTATATAAAAAGATTGAGATTTTTGTATATATATAGGAATGTGTTTTGTTTTAGGAATTTGATTCAATGTGACAATAGGGAAAGGAGGCTAAGGAAGGAAAAGTATACCTAAATTAGGGTATAGCATAAAAAGATGGAGTTACTATAAGTAGCAATTTTCCTTATTTGGTTTGCTTTGCTAATTTGTTTTGCTTCGTCCTCTGTTTTCTTCTTTTGTTAACTTTCTTCCCTCTTTTATAAACGCCTTGTTTGGTTTGGCTTCCTCCTTTTCTATTATTCTTTCTGTATATGTATATATACAAGTATAATATCTAGGGTTTTCTTTCTTGTTTTGCTTTAGTTCATTTTTTTATGACGGTTCTTAAACTCAATCTACTCAAAATTAAAAGTTATCTGTTTCATAAGGAAATGTAATTTCTTTTTAGAAAAAAATAAATATCAGAGAAAATATTGGAAAAATATTTGGTCAACTGTTTTATATTATTATTTTGATTCATATTCTATACATCATACTATCATATCACTTTTTAGCATTTATCCTTATGATATACGAAATTAACTATAATGTTTTAGTTTTTAATATCTCAAGATTCTGAGACTAATAGAATTGCTAAACGTGGCATTGCTTCAAGAAGAATACGATAAGAAAAGCAAAAGCTGTGGCTTTTCTGTAGATAGTAAACTTACAGAGGGAGAGGATCACGTTTTCCCTAAACTGAATTTGTTATATATTTAAAGGAAAAGAAGATATCCTTTTTTAAGAAGACTTTCTAATTGTAACCGAAAATATATAGAGAGAATAACGTATACTAGATTTTGACCCGCGCGTCCGCGCGGGTATTTTTTTATTTTTATAAATCAAATGTGATTAATTATCTTTTCCAAAAGTATTTATACGATGTTGGTATCTATCAGGTTTTGGTACCCATTTAGGTTCAGTTCGGGTCTATTTGGATTTTAGGTTTTTGAGTCTGAACAATTCAACCCTATTCATGTATTTATAAATTTCAGTTCAAATTTGGTTCAGATCTTTGCGAGTTATGGTTCGGATTCAGATAACTCATTTAAGTTATTTAAAACAAAAATTCATATATAATTTAATTTTCTCCAAACTTAAAAATTAAATTAATATATAACATATGAATTTGAATAACATATGACTAACACACATAAATTTAACATAAAATTTTGTTTGACTCGTGTATTTAGATGGATAATCAATATATTTTAAGTACTTTTGGTGATTTGAGTAATGTATAGCTATTTTAAATATTTATTTTTGACTATTTGTATATATTTTTAGTATTTTAGACAATTTTTAAATATTATATAGATTTTGGATATTAAAGATAAAAATAATTAATATTTTTAAGTATATATATAAATATGATTAAGATGTATTCAGATACCTGTAGCATTTTGGTTTAAATCCGCTTCAATTACATTTTTCTAGATACCAAAAATTTGAACTCATTCGAATATTTAACCAGTTTTAGTTCGGATTCGATACTATACTTCAGACCGAATTTAGTTTGTTATTTTTTTTATTCGAGAATCCGAGTTTTATCCCAACTCTTTTGCATAATAACATTTTTGGATATTCAACAATCAAAACAAAATCATATGGAATTTACGTTTACCTATTTGTATATATTTTCTAGTATTTTGGAAAATTTTAAAATGCTATATATATTTTGGCTATTAAATCTAAAAATAATTAATATACCTAAGTGTATTATATTTGGTACCTGTAGTTTTGGTTTAGATCCGGTTCAGTTACATTTCTCTAGATACCAAAATTTTAAACTCATTTGAATATTTAACCAGATTTTGTTCGGATTCGATATTATACTTTAGATCGAATTTAGTTTGGTTTTCGGATTTGAGAACCAAGTTTTCTGCCAACCCTTTTGCAACATTTTTGGATATTCAACAATCAAAACAATATTATATGTAATTCAACTTTTTATAATAACATTTTTGATTGACTCAACAAAAAGTTAATGAATTTATATACATATAGTATTTATTTTGCAGTAACTATTTAAATAGATTGTATACATTCTGATTTGTATATAATGTAAATCTATAACAACATATATTTCATTCATTTATTTTATATGTAATTTAATTTGTTATCAGTTGGTAATCTATACCAACAAAATTTCACAAAATTTTCACACACACATAGTAATTACTTAACTATATTTTAAATTTAAAACTACATACATTATCTTTATTCTTAAGGATCAATAAAAATAAAAGCACAATTATATTGACATCATTTAGAATATTTCTATTTAAAATTCCATATATCTACATATATTTATTAATATTATTATTCTTATAACATTTAAATTATATAAGAACACAAATAGTTTTAAATATACAATTTTGTTACATATAATTAATACTGGACACAATATTTAGAATTCTGACGCTTTCCATGATAACTTCATATTTTCATTTATCGTATGAGTTATAATGCTAGCTTAGAAATAGGTAAATTTTCTGAATGGTATTAATTTAGGAAAATATGATGTTATCTCCTCTCAGAAAAACGTGGGAGTTAAGTTTAAAATTGATTTTCTATATAGTAGGTTGTTGACATAGTGTGTGCCTATCGTAGAATTTTATTTTTTTGTAATTGGATATACATTTGCTAAATTCAGATCCATTTGTATACTAAAAGATATAAGAACAATTGTGTATTTTTCTTAAACTGGATACAACATTTGTTAAATATAGATTGTGATATAAACTATACCACGTGCTAATGTGATATTTAAATTATATAATGTATAAGCTATTAATGTGCTAATTTAATTTTATAATATATAAGCTATTAATGTTATATTTCAATTATTGTTATAAATTTAGTGTAAATTTCTAAAAGACTTTAGTTTATTTGCAGCATATACAAATCAAATGCGTTTGTATAGTAATATAAGAACAATACGTTGAACCAGATTTATTGATTATTTGATACACTGATCTGCGATAAAATAACTATGAATGGGGGTTATTATGTTATGATTTTAATATTTTGACAGATATTGTGTATATGAAAGATAAATAAATAACAAACTAAAAAGTGGAGCAAGTGGTTGAGAAACAATCGGTTACTTTTAATCAGAATAAATAACAAATGAATATGGTAAATTATTATTTTTTAATATAAAAGTCAGTGGCATGAGATGGTAATTTTTTAGGAAAAATAAGGGTTATTTTCCATTTGTACTTCACTTTTAATAGATTAGATTGTATTTGGGAATTATCAGAACACTGCAAAATACTAATATTGGCATATGTAGTAAATTGCTAATTGGATGGTTGACATTTTTGTAAACAAATAATTTGAAAGGAAATAGGAGTATATCTTTACATATCTGGAAATATTTGAAATATATCTTTACATATCTGGAAGTATTTAAGTAAATTAATTATACAGCTCAACACTTTTCCTTTGCAGTGTAAATGAGATAGTTTAATATGTGTTATTTATTTATTTTAAAATGTGTTTAAATATACTTTTAAATTATTTATGCTGGTCTTTTTTTTTGGAGTCAATATTATTTCTTATTCATATTGAACCTCTAGCTTGGCCTGAACCATTTAAACCGGTCAAAACTATGCTAAAATTTTTAAATTAAATAAATTAAATAAAAGTCTTTCAGACCACTCCAAAATCGTGACATTACAAAATTGATGGTACAAACACCAATTTCCATGCTCTTTCCCCCATGTGTATAAACCAAAATAAAATGAAAAAGTTTTTCCTTTTAAATTTTGCAAAACTCTTTTGGTAACCTGCCAAAAAGAGAACCAACCACTTGTCGTAGCTACAAGCAATTTCTTTTACTTTCTTTTATATATAAAGTATAAACACTAGCTAAAATTAAATGTATTTCAAGAAAATAATAAAATGTGATGATAATCACAAAAGATACATAAGACTATAAATAGCATATTCTTTTTGTAGATAACTAGATATGGTCTCAATCTTTTGTAAATAGAAACAAAAATTATTGCTGTATATCCCAACTTCAACTTGTACCGCGAATCTCGGTGATTTAATTTTACTCATTGTCAACAATAAAGTTAAAAACACGTAAAAGAAGCTATTAACATGTTGGGCCTAAAAACAACTAACTGTTTGGGCCTCTAAGCCCATTATGGATTTTGATGTTATAAGAAAGTGTTACTGACAAAAGTTTCCATACAATATGTTTAAACCAGGTTTAGTTGGTAACATACTATGTGCTCAGTGACTATTAACCACCTGTTTAGAGAACTTGTAAGCACGAGACAACGGTTTACTGAATCTTTTCAAATCAAGCGTTACGTTTTGGCGTTCAAGATAAATCTTCTTAGTATAGTCCCAACCTTTTCTAGTAAAACTCCTTGGATCTCTAATTATCGGATCATCTTCACCATACTCATCATACAAAGAGCTCTCTTCCGGTTTAATCTTGTAACCAATGTAATTCAACCTCATCTTCTTGGCCGGTTCTCCATAGTAAGTCTCAGCAGCCCACTCGGTTCCTAACGGTATGATCTGTATAAACACGGTTCTCGGTTTCAAGAAAAGAAAATGCGTCATCGCAGCCCCGTGTACACCGATCATGACGTCACTAGAGTTCAAAGATCTGTAGATTTTCGCCAGCTCCGTTGTTTTGTCCGGTCTCAAAACCTCGACAAAGAAACCAATCTCCTCTGCTAAGTCCACAAGAAGATTCTCGTTAAGTACCTTTCTTGAACCGTTTCTTGAAATAATCACTAGTTTCGGTTTACTCAAACCGGGTTCTTGAATCAGTCCACGTATACGTGGCCAGTAAGCACGGTCCAACACGTTTCTGAAATCAAGAATGGTTTTGTTTCCAAGGGTTAACGATGGGTCAACACTTAACTCGTTGTGGATCTTTAGTCCTACGATAGCTTCTTTGAAACAGAACGTTCTGTTTTCGCTATTGAAGTCTACAAGAGGGTAATCAGAGAGCTCAGAGAGGATATCTCTGTATTTACTAACCCACCAGTTACGATACTCGACGATGATAAACACAACCTTCTTGTTGAAATGGTGTGAAGTGATGAATAGAGGGATGATTCCTTCGTTGAACTCGTGGTAGACGTTTCCAGTGTATCCACCCGTTGAGAAAAACACAGCGGGAATGTTATGGTACTTTACATCGCATATGTTGTTGTGATGTTGATCTCTGTAGACGAGATTGAGTTCTTGAACTGTTTTCATCACACTTGTTTCCCATTTTCTTGTGTATGGTTTGATTTTCTCAGGGGTTTTGGACTTGTTTTGGGAGGAAGTGAAGAGGAAGAGTGATGAGGAAGTGGAGTGTGTTCTAATGTCTCCTTTCATGATGCAAATGTCGGATCTAAAACCGGTTCTGTCACAACAAATTGTTCCTGCAACATAAATAATTCAGATAAGAGACATAAAAGAGTGTCAGGAGACATCAATTTCGGTAGTATTAAGGCCTGCCGTTATTAACCGAACCTGCCGAAACCGAACCGAAAAGTTTTCAGTTTTTGGTTTAGTTTGGTTAGATAGTTCGGTTCAACTAGACGACTAAAAAAGAATCGGTTTATGGTTCGGTAATCCGTTAGTTCGGTTTTCTGAAAAACAAGTTTTTACAAAACGATACTTCAGAGAAAATAATCAACCTAACCGACCAAAGTAAACCAGAAAATAAAAAACTTCAGTAGAAAATGTTGAAACTGAACTACCCGAAAATCAAACTGAACCGAAACTGAACTAACTGAAAATCAAACTGAACCGATTTTTTTTAGATTTTTCTACTGAAGTTTTTGATTTTCTGGTTTACTTTGGTCGGTTAAGTTGATTATTTCTGGTTTTCTAAATCAACTAACTGAAATAATCAACCTAACTGACCAAAGTAACCAGAAAATCAAAAACTTCGGTAGAAAATGTTGAAACGAACTAACTGAAAATCAAACTAAACCGAATTTTTTTTGGTTCACTTTTGGGAGATTGACCGAACCTAACTAACCGAATTCCAAACTAATTGACCGAACTAACCAAATAAACCGAACCCACAGTCCCTAGTATTAGGAATGTAACTGGAAAGGAAAAAGTACCGTAGGACAGTCCTGAACAGAGAGGTGCAATGAACTGTTCATAAGGAACAAGTCCTTCAACTTCTTTGCTAAAAGCATCTGAATAAAAGAGAGGCAACACAACACTCACAAGTCACAAACCGGAACATGAGAAAAAAGCTTATGAATGAAACTTTGCAAAAAAAAAAAGGTTACTTAACCAATGAGAGAGAAAGAGGAGAAGCTGAAGAAATAGCAGCAACAGAGGAAAGAGAGAAAGATGATTGATAGAATCCTTTGTTTTGCACTCTTTAAGTATCCTCCGCCTCCGGTGGCATTACCGGAAGAACCTTGTTGAACTGCAACTCTGAGTTTTTCTCCTTTCTTGATTAATCTGTGGTATTGCACCATTTCTTGGAAGAGAAACCACAAGCAAAGTTTCTATTTTTACGAAAATATAATAAAAGTCACTTTTTAAAGTCAAAAAGGCGAGAGAGAGAGAGAGAGAGGAGTGTCTTGTAAAGACGTTTTTTCTGTCTTTCTGGGATTTGTTGCTCTCTCTTACACCAAGAGAGAAACAAGAGAAGATGAGACTTTCGAGAAAGGATGTTTCTGTTTGAAAGGTTTTGTGTTCTACTAGTATGAAATTTCTTTAGATTTTAGCAATTTTTTTTAATGTTTTGAACTTCAATGAGTTTATTATCTTTAGTCATCATCATAATCAAGGAGTAACCAAGAGACGTGTCAAAGAAGAAGTGTTTTTCTTTCAAAAATTAATCTTTGAATTTAGGTTAGTTGTATATAATATTCTTGTCTGACCTGAACACCAAACTAATCTTTCGGTTACAGTGATTAAATATGATTACTGTACATTAGTTATTTAGTTCCATAAGGGAAATTAAAAATCGACAGTGATGAACTTTTGTTCGTGATTTACGCAAAGGAATAAATGGTCAACTGGTGGCCATCACCATATCATAATTAAGGGAATGTATTTAGGATGATGTGTTTATACCACCTTTTGCCATTATTATTGTGTCATCAGTACGAATAGATGGAAGAGAATAGACTTAGATTGCATTTGCACCTGATGTGTTTCTTCTACTTTAGATATGCTCATTTACGTTTAATTTTGAATCTAGGTGCGCATGTGGTTTGGTACATTTTATCAAGGACTTGTTAGAGCATGAGCATTGGTGAACTCGCAATGTGGTACATTTACGATTCCCTACGTTTCAGTTTTAATTATTTAATTTATTTTTTATTGATTTAAAAAATATAAAAATAAAAATTAATAATAGTCCAATCGTGATTTCGTCAAGTGGTGTAGGACTCACGTAACAGTGACGACCCAGTATTACCGCAGCGAATTCACGCGATGCGGATTTAACAAAATCAGGTTATTTTAGTATATTTTTTTTCAGAACCGTGTGAACTGATCGCTCAATGCTCATGCTCTTATCCATATATATCTGCGAGGATACAAGCTTTTCACTCATGGAAGCTTTTGTCTTTTCAAATTTTTTTTATTCCTTTATAAGATTCTTACTAATGCCTTGTAGAAAATCATGAAGTAGTACTACATACGAATCATCAGAAGTAACTCAAAGTGTATGTAAAACTCTCACTCAGTTTGTTTTGTGATTACAAAGAGCATTCCGTTTTTGTTTCTTTGTTACATTTTATGGTAAAACAGGGAGGTCTATGGAACTGAAAGAAAAGAAACTCACACGGCCCTGAGCTATATGACAGAACATTAACGGTGCAGCTACACGGCTTTGCAGGGCTTTAACATCTTCTTTGCTTGGTGGGGAGTCCCTGTAATAGAAGATCAAGTATGCTGAATAAGATGTTTAAACTAGCTTTCACAGAACGAAAACCAAACGCTTACCCAGAGAAGCAAGCAACGAAGCTAGGTTCACCAGGAGAAGACTTCTTGAACCGGCTATTTGGCAAATACACATCAAACACAGCTCTTGCATCACACTGTATTTGCATATCCCCCAAGAGTCTAGTCACATCATCCTTGTCTTCAGGATATTCACCAACACAAACCGACTCTTCTTCACAACTTGGTGTAGTAATGGCAGCATCTTTTGAAGTCCAAGGAACACCATGGCGTCTTATAATGTAACCTAAACCCTTCAAGTATCTATAAACCTCGTAGCTTTCCCAACCGCAGCCGTTTTCTTCCTCTGCAATCTTCTCATACAAACCCTTCAATGAGATCACTTCTTCATTACCTAAGATCTGCAACTCTCCTATTTCACTCAAATACCTGAAATAAGAAGAAGAGAGGGACTACTTCATCAGATGACACTTTTCTTTGTTAAAGACTGTTCTAAAACACTTTGTTTCCGACATACAAAGCCTCTTCTATGAAACAGTATGTCTTCCCACTACGAATGACTCCAGTTGTTGTCCAAAGCTTCCCTCTCTTAACCTCAACAGCAGCCATTGCTAGCTCTGTAACCCAACGAGCCTTTGAAGATCCAACTCTACAGCGTAGAAACCCCACAAAAACAAAGACAATGATTAGAGAGCTAAACCAGAAACAAGCTGCTCTGCTGAGTACAATCAAACCTGAACTGTAACTTGGGTCCTGAATGAAACTGTTCGTCATCATCGATTCCAAAACCAGCTTCATCTTCACTTGAAGAGGAAGCTTCCCAGTCTTTTTCCTCCATAAGCTTATCGTCTAACACCGAAGAAAGTCTCTGAGGCAATTCGTCGAACAGTTGGCGTACAACCTAGTTCTGTCGTGCTCGTAATTTTCCCCTTTGTTCGGTTTGTTTTATTTGTACCGAATCAATTAAATTAGTAATAAACCAAACCGAGCCGGTTTACTTCAATATGATATCTATTTGTACCGAATAGAATACAAGAATATACCCAAACCGAACCGGTTTAGACTCCATGGCGTTAAATAATAAACAAATGATCCACAAAAGTTTGAAATCGTAAAACCGAAGAGCTTGAATCTGAAACCCTCTCTCCATTCCTCTACGAAGCTTCTCGAGCATGCGGCTCCTTCGTCCCAGTCCCCTCCTCTTCAGGTTCTCTTACTCAAACCTCCACAAACTCTCCTCGCTTTTCGATTCTTCGTGTGTTCATCTTCTTTTTTTTTTATTTAACGAGTTTTATTAGAGATATGTTGGGCCGGAAGATATGTATCTTACGGACCAAGATTGTGAAGTCCATGAAACTCATGAAGATCCTCAAGACTAAAAGGAAAGACTTGAAGAGCAAGTTAATCTCAAGATATTCTTAGCATATTTACATAAGTGTTTAGGAAAGTTAGCATTATCTAGTGTTAACATTATGTTAATATTACCATTATATATATGTATCTTGTACTCTTATATCAAACACAACACAATAATATATCATATTCTATTATATTTTACAAGTTTAATTCGTATTTACTATTTAGAGAGATTTGGATCGATTGGAAGCATTGTTTAGGAAACTCAAGTCTTAAACCCTAAATAATAATCGAAGCTCTTGCACAGTCTATTGCCGCCACCAGGTACTATTTATACTCTCTTTTTACTCTCATTATTATCGATTTGAAACCCTAAACCCAGAAACCGATCGCTATAAATGTTTAACAGGCGTTGACTACGATTTTCCTTAGTAGGGGGTGTAAAGAGAGACAACTCCTTACCCCCATATCTCATTCTTTAATCTTTTTAGGACATATTTCTTCTTTTAATTTTATATGTCAAAAAAAAATCATAAAATTAAAATGAGCATGAATAATTTTTATTTGATTTATAGAATTTGATAAAAAATATTTTAAAAATCAAAATTTTTTGAATATTTTTGCAAAAATCATCAAAATATAATTAAAAACGATTTTAAAATATTTTTTTTTCCGAATTTGAGATATATATAACTTAAATACTTGTCCAAAAGTTCACTAATCCATAGGGAGAGTTAGAGTTTAGTTTTTAACACCAGAAAAGATTTGATTTGGGAATTTAGGTTTTGATAAAAGAGAAATTGTGAAATAGAAGTATAAAATATTAATTGAGCCCATAGAAAATTGGCTCTAAAAAAATAGAGGCATAGAAAAAGTTGACTCGCGTAAAAAGCCTAGAAAAGTTATGGGCCATGTGCTCAGATTTTTTTTTCCCCAAAATTATAGTTATGCCTTTCTAAATTTATAAATTAAGACCCTAGGTTATATTTGCGTTGACAAACTAAGAGCATGTTTAATGCTGTTTCTTAGCATAGGTCTTTTAGCAAAAAAATGATAAATAAATTGGTGGGATCCAGCATTTTAGTAAAGAACGGGTGTTTGGAAGTTTAACTAAGAGCACTCCCAACCACGGGTCCTTAGGGGAAATCCTTAAGGAAATATTAATTTTATAATCAGTAGGTCCCATGAACAGTTAAGGATTCTATCCTTAAAATCTTTATTTAAGGATTGATCCTTACACTATTTGCGGGAGCCCACGTGGCGGCCCGTGAATGGTCAGTTTTTCTTTTTTTTAAAGAAAAAATCTGAAATATCCTTATATAATCCGAAATACCCCTTTTCTTTTTCCCTAAGGATTCCTCCTAAGGATCCGTGGTTACGAGTGCTCTAAGGGACGTTTTTTTGAGTTGCATACACTGTATATTGCTTCTTTTTTTTTTTAATTTAAACAAAAAGAACAAAAAAATAGAATAAAATAATAATAATTATACCTGTGTTTCCGTGTCTGCATTTTAAATAATTTTTAAAAAAGAATAATATTAGGACCTATGCAAGTGCACCTTGGGAACTCCACCAAAAGTTCTTGGAAATTACCAATGAAGGTGTTGTTGTTATACTTCTCAAAGTCAAACAACCAAAATAACAAAAGAGTATGAGTTTCTTGTCCAAGAGCAACACGCTACTTCTCCAACTAGGGTTAGATGTGCACTTCCTGCTGTGATAAGCGGCGATCTACCTTCTTACTTTGTGCGGGTTCTGATTCCGTGTTCTAGTATTCTACTGACCAACCTGCTGCCCAGAAGAAGAGCTTTCAAGTAAGCATACAATTGTCTCGTGCTGTTTCTCATCTTTTATCTATCTGTTCCAGATTTGATTTTGCTCTTTATGATTTACCGATAACACTCCCCATGTTTGCTGTATGAACCAATACACTCTTTACCATATATACAAGCGTATATCATATGACTTACCCAGATGATCTATGTGCCAGGTATGGGTGAAGACAGGAGACGAAAACGGGAGCAATGGAGCTACGACGCGTTTTTAAGTTTCCGAGGAAAAGATGTTCGGAAGGGTTTTGCGAGCCATCTCTACGAGAGACAGCAGAAGAAATTTACCCAGAGCTGATGAGCACCATTAGAAACTCCAAAATTCACATTGTGAATTTTTCCAAGTGGTATGGTCAGTCATCTTGGTGCTTGGATGAGCTTGTGGAAATTATGAAATGCCTCAACAATGACGCTGGACATAAGGTAGTCCCAGTTTTCTACGACGTTGAGCCATCCGATGTACGCAGACAAAAAGGATCATTTGGTGAACCCTTCAAGAAACTCAAAGACCGTTACCCAGAGAGCAAGGTGCAGGAATGGATGGAAGCCTTAACAGAAGTCGCAAACCTTTCTGGTTTTGTCATGGGAGACTACAGGTCAGTGGTTCCTTCTTCTCAGCTGTTTTGTAACTTGCATATATAATTTAGATTTAACATTGAACCAAAGTAAGTTAGGCTAAAAATGTTACAATGGCTCGAGATTTTCATGGTTTTAATATGTAAGGATATGCGTTATGCAGGGATGAAGCAAAGTTTATCGACGATATAGTTAAAGAAGTTGGGAAAATGTTGTCTGTTTCATACTTGCCTTTACCAACATATGCTGTTGGTGTTAGATCACGTTTACACCTTATGAATGAGCTAATGTGCTTTGGGTCGGATGATGTCCAAGTCATTGGGATCAGCGGAATGGGTGGGATTGGTAAAACAACGCTGGCCAAGGCTGCATTTAATAAATTCTCAGATCGTTTTGAAGGAACAAGTTTCCTAGAAAACTTTGGAGATTGCTCCAAGAAACCTGAAGGGAAGGTTCATCTTCAGCGAAAACTTCTTTCTGATATCTTAAAAAGGGATGACATAGTGTTCAACTTGGAAGACGCCATGGAAAAAAGATTCCGCAATAAAAGAGTATTGGTTGTTATTGATGACCTTGAAGACATTACTCAACTTAACTCAGTCGCAATAGATTTGAGCTGCTTTGGTCCAGGAAGCAGAATCATCGTTACAAGCAGGAACACGCATTTGTTAAGGCAGCTCGGAGCAAAAAATATATATTCACCGAAAGAACTTGATAATGGTGAATCCCTTGAGCTCCTCAGTTGGCATGCCTTCAGAGCATGTGAGCCTCCTGAAGCGTTTCGACAGCTCTCAGAAAAGTTGGTTGAATACTGTGGAGGACTACCCTTGGCTATGGAAGTCTTGGGTGCGTTCCTCTTCAAGAGAAGCATTTCAGAGTGGGAAACCACGTTGCAAACTCTGAAGAATATACCCGAAGATAACATTCAAGCAAAGCTTAAGATCAGCTTTGATGGGCTAAGTCAAGTGCAGAAAGAGATATTCTTGGATCTTTGTTGCTTCTTTATAGGGATGGAGAAAGACTATGTAAGTTGCATATTGGATGGATGCAAATTATATCCTGAGATAGGACTCAATGTACTAAAGGAGAGGTGCCTCATTACATTCCGGGATAACAAGATAGTGACACATAACTTATTACGAGACATGGGAAGAGATATTGTCCGGGAAACATCACGGAACAACTGTGAAAACTGGAGTAGATTGTGGGATCCTGATGATGCTCTTGCTGTATTGGCAAATTATAATGTAAGGAGCAAATTGTTAAATGAGACTAGGGCTAACATTTCACTGATAAAATTGCTTGTTTCAATATTAGGGAACTGATGCAACTGAAGGACTCAGCCTGAAGGTCGAAGATCCGGCTACTAGGATCTTAGAGGTAAAAGCATTTTCAAAACTACGAAGGTTGAGACTGTTGCAACTCAGTAATGTATCGCTCAACGGAAGCTATGCACATTTTCCTAAAGGTTTACGATGGCTTTACTGGCTTGGGTGTCCTTTGGGCTCTGTGCCAACAAACTTACATTTGAGAAATTTAGTTGTCATGGATATGCAGTACAGCAACCTCAAACGACTTTGGGATGATCAAGAGGTAAAACTTCCTTTTAGAAACTGCAGGTGGTTTATTCGATTCTTACTTATTCTGTTTTTTTTTTTTTTGTAGCAACCGCAGTTCCTTAAGCATTTAAAACACATCAATCTCAGTCACTCTGTCCACCTCATAGAGACTCCAAACTTCTCTTATCTCCCAAACCTCGAGAAGCTAGTCTTAGAAAATTGTAAAAGTTTGGTTCTGGTTCACAAGTCGATAGGGACTCTTCAGAAAAAGCTGGTACATTTAAATCTTAAAGGTTGCACTGAACTCGGCAACCTCCCTTCGGAACTCTATACATTGAAAGCACTGGAAACACTAATTCTTTCAGGCTGCACGAAACTTGAGAGATTGGACAATGCTTTAGGTGCAATGGAATCATTGACAGTTCTTAAAGCTGACTATACCGCTCTATCTCTATTTCCCTCTTCGATTGATCAACTGAAAAAACTGGAAGAATTATCTCTTGATGGCTGCAAAGGATTATGGAAAGACAGAAGCCCTCTAGCTGGTGTATCTCTTCCATTTTCGTTTAACCGTCTAGGCTGCCTGAAGACTTTGAGTTTAGGCTACTGTAGTCTATCAGATGAGTTCGTTCCTGTAAATCTTGGGAGCTTGTCTTGTCTCGAGGAACTTGATCTACGAGGCAACAACTTTCGTAACCTGCAAACAGATTTTGCTGGTCTTGTAAGCCTACTGGTCCTGAAATTGGATGCTGCTTGGAACTTCAATCCATGTTTAGTTTACCAAAAACGTTGAGATCTTTCTATGCGAGCAACTGCATCATGTTGGAAAGAACTCCTGATTTATCAGAATGCGTGGCGTTGCAAGCGTTGCACCTCACAAACTGTTTTAGCCTTGTTGAGACGCCGGGGCTGGATAAACTGAAAATGGTTGGAGTCATCCATATGGAAATGTGCAAGCGCATTCCACATACTTATGTAGAAAGAATCATGAAGGTATTTCTTTGAATCTCTCTTTATTTCCTAATCTGTTGGATTGATTCGGAAGTCTTGATATCAAATGATCTAGCAACCTTGGACTGTTTTACTAATAGTTATGGTCTATAGGAAAGTGTTTGGCTGTGATTATATGATTGTCTGTGTGTTATATAGGGTTGGGCTGTGAGTGCCAATGGAGGAATATTTATCCCAGGATGCAGCCTTCCAGACTGGGTGAGCTTCAAGAATGAGACCAATTCAATCACTTTTACGGTGCCTGAAACTCAGGACCTTGATCCGGTTGGCTTTACCGTGTGGACACCATATATGAGTCAGCAAAACAACGTGATGTCTGAATATTCTCCAAAGATCACACTGAAGAATCAAACCAAAGGAACCGTATGGAGTCGCAAGCCAGCCACAGATCACATTCGTTTGTATCGTGAAAGACACATCTGGCAAGGACACTTTTTAAGTGAAGATTTAAACTTAGAAACCGGCGATCGAGTAGAAGTAGCTGTGGATTTTGGAGATCAACTCACCATTCTTGGGACAGCACTAAGTCTTGCTTACAATGTTCATGATCAAGCAGTGGCTGGAGTTTCTTCTGAGATGAAATCAAAATTCCATCTACGTAGCAGGCTATAAGCAAACATTTGAATAGGTCTTCGCTTTCTCTAACTTATGAACGCTTGATGAGTTGCAGGTAATACTCCCACACCACTAAAGTTACAGAAACCACGATAAAAGAAACATACAAGGACTTGTATCCATAGATCTCTATCTACGAGGGTACAAGCTATCCCACTTAATGAAGCTTTTGTCTTTCCAGTTTTTTGGTATCTCTTTATAAGTTTCTTACTAATGCCTTGTTGAAAAACATAAAGTTGTAGTACATATTACTGCATGGATACGAACATCAAAGTTTGTGTATGTGAACTCTCAGTTTGTTTGTGACTGTCTTATGAATACAAGATCATTCCATTTTGTTTTCTTGGTTACATTTATGGTAAGACAGGGAGGTCTATGGACCCGAAAGAAAAGAAACTCACACGGCCCTGAGCTATATGACAGAACATTAACGGTGCAGCTACACGGCTTAGCAGGACCTTAACATCTTTCTTGCTAGGTGGAGAGTCCCTGTAATAGAAGATCGAGTATGCTGAATAAGATGTTTAGGCTTTCATAGTTATAAACTAACGAAACCAAACGCTTACCCAGAGAAACAAGCCACAAAACTCGGTTCACCAGGAGAAGACTTCTTGAACCGGCTATTTGGCAAATACACATCAAACACCGCTCTTGCATCACACTGTATTTGCATATCCCCCAAGAGTCTAGTCACATCATCCTTGTCTTCTTCACCACTTGGTGTCGTAATGACACCATCCTTTGACGTCCAAGGAACACCATGCCTTCTTATAATGTAACCTAAACCCTTCAAGTATCTATAAACCTCGTAGCTTTCCCAACAGCATCCGCTTTTTTCCTCTGCAATCTTCTCATACAAGCCCTTCAATGAGATCACATCTTCATCATCTTCACTACCTAAGACCTGCAACTCTCCTATCGCACTCAAGTACCTGCCACAAGAAGAAGACAGAGACAACTTCATCAGATGACTGAGTAAAAAACTGTTCTAAAACACTTTGTTTTTCTGACATACAAAGCCTCTTCTATGAAACAGTATGTCTTCCCACTACGAATGAGTCCTGTTGTTGTCCAAAGCTTCCCTCTTTTAACCTCAACTTCAGCCATTGCTAACTCTGTAACCCAACGAGCCTTTGAAGATCCAACTCTACAATGTAAAAACCCCACAAACACAAAAGAGAATGATTTCACAGCTAAACCCAAAAACAAGCTGCTGGGTTTAATCAAACCTGAACTGTAACTTGGATCCTGAACCACCAGAATGAAACTCTTCGTCATCATCTAGTCCAAAACCAGCTTCTTCTTCGCTTGAAGAGGAAGCTTTCCAGTCTTTTCCCTCCATAATAAGCTAAAAATTCTCTGAGGCAATTCGTCGAACAGTTGGTGTGCAACTAGTAATGTCGTGCTCGTGCGTGTCACGTGCTTTCCTCCACTCTTTGCTAGTTTTTCTTTTTCTTTTTCCACTCTTTGGTTTGATTTTATAAGTTAGGAATAGAACCAAACCGAGCCGGTTTTCTTTGGTTTGAGCTTTATTTGTACCGGATCGATTAAATTAGGAATAAGACCCAAACCGAATCGGTTAAGACTGCATAGCGTTTTAATGAGAAACAAATGAGTTTTTGAAATCGTAAACCCTTTCTTCCCTACCGAAGAAGAGCTCTCGAATCGAAATATCAATCAATGGCGAACGAGCAGGAGATGAGTGGATGGACTGATCTTCTCCATTCTTCTACGAAGCTTCTCGAACAAGCGGCTCCTTCCTCTCAGTTTCCTCCTCTTCAGGTTCTCTTACTCACCAAAAATCTCCTTTCGCTCTTCGTTTCTCCGTGTGTTCATCGTTTTTTTAAACGAGATTGATTTGTTTTGTGGTTCTTAGAGGAATTTGGATCAATTGGAAGCGTTGTCGAGGAAACTCAAGGCTAAAACCGTACGAAGCGAAGCTCCTTCACAGTCTCTTGCCGCCACTAGGTACTATCTAAGTGCTCGTGCATTGATATCTAATCGAGAATCTAAGATTTGTGACTCGATTTGGGGATTAAAGACTATTAGGTAGCGATGTTTTTAGGAATTGTGGTATTTTCTTTGTTTAGAATTTTCTTAAGAGAACCAAGCGAGGACGGTCTAGTGGTCTTGAGGGAGTTTCGGCCCCAATACATACCCGGGTTCAAATTCCGCTGGCTATTAGGGGTAAAATTTAAAATTTGGATTCCTCCAGCGTCCGGTGACCGAGGCGTACTCCGGCCGATAATGTAGGCTGATACGGACACTCGCCGCTAGTCTGGATCCACCCACCAAAGTGGATGCCAGGATACACCGGATTATTCCAAAAAAAAAAAAAGAAAAAAAATTCTTAAAGAGAGAAGGTGTAGCTTAGCTATTGGAACTGAGTGATGCTTATGTTGTTTAAGTCTTTTATTTTATTTTATTGGATGAGCAGACTACTTGCAAGGGAAGGAATCAATGCAGAGCAATTGTCTCGTGATCTAAAATCATTCGAGTTGAAGGTTAGTGATTTACTTGTCTTCTTTATCTATCACCTAGCTTCTGCTGCTCTATCTGTTTGACTGGTAACTTCTAGGTAAATATATACTTTAGCTTTCATCATCAGATAAATATTTAAGTTTTTATAAGTCAGATTTGTTGTGATATGACATCCTTTTATACTTAAGTTTATTGGTTTTTGAAGTATACGACTCCTATTTTCGCTTGCTTACTCATCTGCAATTATGCTTTTCTACTATTATTATATTCAGTGCTACTGAACACCCTTTGCCTAATTTGTTTTGTTTTTATTGGACTATTTAAAGACGACATTTGAAGATGTATTCCCTGCCGAGGCAACGAGTGTTGAAGAATACCTGCAACAGGTATTCTCTATTTGAAAATGCCCTGTTTTAGATCACGGATGGATTCTTTTGGAGATAATTGATAGTTTTGATGTGCGTTATTCTTGTCTAGGTTCATGAAATGGCTATGGTATCGGCTATACAGGAGGCCCAAAAGGATAATGTTCGGAGCTTTAATGATTATATGCTGAAAGTAATGGAGGTCAGTATTGTGACTACTACCAATTTTGTTTTGACTTGATTTCCATGTTACTTTTATCCGTTTATCTTTTTCCTTTAATCAATATATAGTCTAATGGTTGTTGAATACTCCCTAGATTTTTGTTTCTTCTCTTCAAGTAACTGCACATAATGATTGGTTAATGATATTAACATGTGTCTGCAAACGTGAGAGGAGGAATATTTTCTTCATCCCTGCAAACTATGTGGAAACTTTATTTTATTTTTACTTAGGATTAGAAGCTGGTTAAGTGCTTAATGCAATGTAGAAATATATTTTTCCGATTTTATGTCATGTCCGTTCTCATATACTCTTGTTAAATCTTCTGGCAGGACGACTGTAGAAAAGAAAAACGTGACTTCCTTCAAAGTCGTAGCAAAATTTCAATGGTTCCTAAGACCAAGATGATCGATACAACTAGATACAGTCAGGCTGGTCAACTGGTTCCTGTGGCTTCGAGTCCTCAAGTATCTTCAAACACTGGAACAGAACTTGTGTCTCTGGCTAACAAACCCATTGATGAGAAGAAAGCAAATGTCTATGCCGAGGTTGTGAAAAAACTTAATTCTTCAAGGGAACGAGGCTTGCCATTTAAGGTATAGTCTTCCTGTACCTCCTCGTGTGCATTTTATATGACTTCCTGTTTGATAATTGCGGCTGAAGATTATGCATTTCCCCTTATTGCTTTTAGACGTCCAGCTAGATTTTCAAAGATTTCTGTACAGGCTTCACTTTTTGATGATGATTGCCTTATGTGTATCTGATTGGTTTGTCCCTGTTTTTTACTAATTTCTCATTCATGCGTTTGTATAGCCTTCCACATCGTTCAAAGATGCTTATGAAAGTCTAGGGATTGATTTGACGCGTGGGAAATCAGTCAATGTGCAGAAACTATGGCAACTTATTCAGGTGGAGTTTCATTTTCTAACCTACAATGACTGTTTTTACACTTCCAGTGCCTATAACAGTCTATGAAAACAGGCAATGACGGGTGAAGATTCAGCAGTACACAAAGGTGTTTCCAAGAGGATGTCCCTCGTGATAGGTGCAAGACGCCACTTAGAATCTGGGCATCAGAAACATATAATGGATACAATTCAAAGTCATCCTACACAAGTACGTGTTTCTATCTTGTATTTATTTGTTGTATACGTACTAATCCCATGTTTCATTTGTCTTGATACATATTTTAACTTATTACTTCAAGGATGCTTTTGAGATCGTGCCATAGTCTTTCACTCTGAGTTCAGGTGTGTTAATAACCATAACATGTTTCTATCCCCTTTTCTATGTTCTAGGCTGCTCTTGGTGGATCCGTTGGAAATTTGCAAAGAATTCGTGCCTTTCTTCGGGTTAGTGCGACAGTCTTAGTAGAGCTTGACACGAAGCATATGCACACATGATTTTTTTTTCGTGGCAGTCATAGATTGTTTGTTTGCTTGATTCTATTTTTGAATACTATGCAGATTCGTCTACGGGACTATGGAATTTTGGATTTTGATTCAAGTGATGCGCGTAGACAGCCTCCAGTTGATACTACTTGGCAGCAGGTTTCGCATTATCTTCCCACATGCTTTGAGTTCTCACCATTGTCCTCGAAAATAAAGTTGAAAAACATATCTTTTCATTGCTGTTCCATTTGATTTCATCTCTTTGATTACAGATATATTTTTGCTTGAGAAGTGGCTATTATGAGGAGGCTAGAGAAATCGCCAATTCATCTCGATCATCTCAACAACAGTTTGCTCCGCTGGTATACTTCCCCGTCTTAATAACCTACATTAAAGTTCCGGAGTCAGCTTTTGAGTCACCTTTTCTTTGCAGCTTACAGAGTGGATTACCTCAGGCGGTACTGTGACTGCAAATACCGCTGCTATTGCTTCTGAAGAATGTGAGAAACTGTTTAGGTTAGGTGATCGGTTGGGCCAAACAACATATGACAAGAAGAAACTCCTACTCTACACAATCCTATCTGGCTCCCGAAGGCAAATTGATCGCATCTTGAGAGAATTTTCAACCCTCTTCAATACAATAGAAGACTTTCTCTGGTTCAAGTTATCATGCATACGTGATGTTGCTAGTGGATCTTCATCTCTGGTCTTCAACGATGGGCTAGTTCCTTACAGTTTAGATGACCTTCAGGCTTATCTTAATAAGTTTGAGCCTGGTTATTACACTAAGAACGGCAAAGACCCTCTGGTTTACCCATATGTTCTGCTTCTTAGCGTTCAGTTACTACCGGCGATCATGCACATGTCACAAGAACCAGGAGATGAAGGGTATAACATAGACGCCGTCCATATAGCTATTTCGCTAGTGGACCATTCGGTTCTCTCTGAAGGATCTGGGACTGGGCACAAACTTAGCGTGATGGATGCAAACGCTGAGGCCTCGAGCCTGATAAGGCAGTACGGGTCGATGTATTTGCATCATGGTGATCTGCAAATGACGCTGGAATACTATGCACAAGCTGCTATTGCTGTAGGAGGAGGGAAACTAGTTTGGTCCGGGAGAAGCAATGTTGATCAGCAAAGGCAAAGAAACCTGATGCTGAAGCAACTTATTACTGAGATTTTGTTACGAGAAGGTGGTATTAACTTTCTGCTTGGTGCTAGAGGTTCTGGTGAAGAAGGCGAGCTTGGAAGATTTTTTCCTGATTCAAAATCGAGGCAGCAGTTCTTGATCGAAGCTGCGAATCAATGTCAAGACGCTGGATTGTTTGAGAAAGTAAGTAGCTTTTGCTCTTAACTACTTGAAACATGTTGGTTCTGTGTTCAAGTCTTCTAACTATTTGTTGATGCAGTCTATAGAAATACAGAAGAGAGTTGGCACCTATGCAGCTGCATTGGAAACAATAAACAAGTGTCTATCTGAAGCCATCTGCTCCCTTCTCCGTGGACGTTCAGATGGTGAAAGCAGAACAGCAGGACTTGTTCTCTCAGGAAACGATATTCTTGACACCTACAAGTACTACCCTGAAGTCAGGTAAATCGAGACTCTAATAAAGTCGTTTAGTTACTTTGTCTTTAAAGTTTTTGCACTGAAACTCTTGTCTACACCAGTCCCCAGGAAAGAGATCAGGTCATGAAACAAGAAACAATACTACGAGAGCTTGAGGCAATACTGTCGATCCACAAGTTGGCTAGAGTAGGCAATCATCTAGACGCCTTGAAAGAAGCAGCTAAACTCCCGTTCCTTCATCTCGATCCGAGACTGTCCGACACAACCACGGACGAGTTCCAGAAAGCGTCTTCTTACTTCAAGACTTGTGTCCCTGATTTACTAAAGGTTGTTTTGACTTGTCTGGACAACGTACCTGACCGTGATGGATCCATCCGTGTCATGAGATCTAAGGTACTACACATACTACAAACTAATACGTGATCAAGAAAGATAATGCATGATACAGATATTAACTATATGGATCTCTTTTGTAGATTGCTGGGTTTCTTGCAAGCAACACACACCAGAACTGGCCTCGAGACTTATACGAGAAGGTGGCTCGAAGCTTTTGAATTTCAAGAAACTCTAATAATCTCTTTGCACTTGTCAAAACCTTAAACAAGATATGTTTCCTTTTCCTCATAAGAGTATTTTTATAACAAAAGCAAAATCTTAATTTTCAGACATAATCACACAAAGATCCAAGAATCGTATGTTATGTTCTAACGCAACATAATCCAAAAGCAAAAAAAAAAAAAAAACATATATCTGTTTGTGACTCTTAGGCATCAACATAAGCCTACCTTTAAGCAGAAGCTGTCTCAAACTTCCTCATCATATCACAATGAGGCGTCTCACGAACAAAACCCCATTGCTTCCTCTGCAGCTCATACCTACAATTCTGCCCAAGTATAGAAACATAATCTCTCTCAACCTCATCCTCCACATTCTGTCTCTCGTGACTGTCTCGCGGGTACTCCTGCTCGAACTTAGCCGACCTCACATAGTAATTAACACCCCTCTCGGTAGTAAACTTGTAATTGTAAGGATACGTCGCGGAAAGCGAGTAAACAGGTTGTGACGAAGGTATGAAGTTGAGGAGTAGTATGAGTAACACAGGTAGAAGCTGGAGAAGCACACGTGCATTAAAACCAGCAGCATCATGAGCTTGATTGTTATTATTATTAGCTGCTCTATGTCGCGCAGCTCCGAAGTTAAATGTTCGGAACTGAGCATTCGCGGGAGGCATCCCTCCTCCCGCGAATCCTCCACCGAAGAAGCTTCTGAAGATCTCATTAGGATCAAACTCGTCTTCGTAATAGTAACCACCACCACCACCACGGTTGAATCCGTTACTCCTTCTCGGCTGATAAATCGGCTCATCCGAGCCGCTGACGTCGTACTTTCTTCTGGCTTCTTCGTTGCTTAAGCATTGAAACGCTTTCGAGACGGATTTAAACGCTTCTTCGGATCCAGGAGCTGGATTCTTATCGGGATGGACTTTCAACGAGAGTTTACGATACGCTTTCCTCACGTCGTCGACCGAGCAAGTGTTCTCGAGGCCTAAGATCTCGTAATAGTCTTTCTTCGATTTGATTTTTTTCACGATCGAGATCTGTTCTTCTGTGTAGGAGATTGATGAAGAAGGAGACGGTGTTGTTGATGATGATGAAGATCCACGTTGGCGTAAAGAAGGTTGAGATGATTCGGCGGGAGATTTTTGAGATTCTGGTTCGTTTGATTGGTTGTTATTGTTGAGATCGGATTTGAGATCGTCGATAGGGAGATCTGGATCGAGACGACGAGCTTTGGAGAGGAATTTACGAGCTCGTTCTCGATCTCCGGATTTGATCGCTTCCTTGACGATTTTCAAGCACTTCAACGCGTCTTCTTTGTTTCCATCCATGAGACTTGCGAGAGAGAGATGAGAGTGAAGCTTTCTTCGAAATTAGGGTTTTTTCTCACCGATTTGGGATTTTCAGATTGGGACGTGGACGAAGATTCAAGACGAGAGACTAGTGGAAGGCAGCAACCATTAAAAGTCATATCTAATTATCTGAGATTATCGTACCAAGGTCGGTATAAGATAACCGGTAAATACCAATTCCGGTTATTGAGTAATTTGAAGTTTTGAACAGTCTATCATTTTCAGCCCAATGGGCTTCAACATACAGCTTTTGTCTTATTAAAATTCAGAGAGAATCTTTCTTCTTTTAAAACCTTGGATCATTAGCTAAAAGATGCATTGAAGGAGTACTTTTTTTTTTTAAACTAAAAGATGCATTAAAGGAATACTTGATACCAATTGTTGGAGTGTTGATGGCCTAACCAACTTTCTATTTTTACTACTGTAATCAAGGAAGTGTAGGTAAGGTATCAGTACTACAGAAAAGCTTGACAGTCTTTAAAGCTGTGAGTTGTTCACTCCATGTGCTATTAACTTCTTCACAATTTTTTTTTTTCATAATGAATGGAAATGATCATTAACAATCTGAGAGCATTTCTTGCCATGACTTATAGTAGATTGATTATATATATTGCATAAGCTTGATTAGTTTGCAGACACATCAGGTTCTCTTAACATTAATATTATTTTAAAAACGGTATTCTTATAAATAGTTACGGTTTAGTAGTAATGTAATGGAATGGTTAGCATGTTCTGTATATTGTGCTACTTGATTGTGTCAAATGTTGTCTGTCTTGCCCAATATACTTCAATACTAACAAAACAACAGATCATGAAAGATTTTATATGTGGATATGAATAGTGGGGAGGTGGGTTTTGTTACTCGGCAAGGGCAGACTTAATATCATAATATATACATAGATGAATAAAGCTCAAGGGCTGTTATTATATTTTTGTGGTAAGTGGTAACATGGCCTAATAGTATTTATATTTTTGTTCAATAAGACTTGCTAATTACTGGGAGTAACTTGGTCAACCATGGTTGGCAAGCCAGTGGACAGAAATGAATCCCATCCATTAATATATTGAATGCTCTTTCCTGACTATGGATCTACCCTTTTCATATATCTAATACAATAAAGTTGACTATTCTCCCTTCTTAGGGTGTCCACCTCAGATTTTTAGAGGGGGCAAAAAATGACACCTCACCAATCATTTTTTTTTAAATTGAACCCACATAATTTACAATCCCGTTTTGGTTTAAATTGGTTTTGCTGTCTTGGTTTAATGTTTGGTGATGGGCTTGGTTTAGGGTTGTGTATAAGCCCAAATTTAAAAGCTTTCTGTGAGTTTGGTTGGGGGTTGTCGTTGAGGCCTTTTTCTTTTAGGTTTTTTTTTCACGGCATGCTCTTTCTCGTGTGTATCGCCGCCGGAGGCACCTCTGAACTTTAGTAACCGCTCTCTTCTACCATTAAACTCTTCTTTACTCCCACCTTATGAGCCTTGACCACGGTTACGCCAATTATTGCATCTCTTCCACTCCCAAATAGACTGTATGTATGTTGAGTATAAATAACTATGTATCCATAGCTGTTGATCTTATTCCAGACGCTCGCGAAGAACAGAACAATCAGACGAAATCCGCGATGGCAAACTCCTACACGCTCCTTGCTGATTTGAAGGCCGGCCGGTGCTCGAACACGGCAGAGGTTCGACTTCTTCGGTTGTGGGAGGCGAGAAACACCAGCAGGAACAGCAGACGGTCAGGGGAACTCATGAGCATTGAT